TAACTAGATCAAACAATTACACTGTATGTCAATACACAATATGCCAGATAGGCCATCAATTTTCTCAACACTATCTGTCTAGTGCCATGTAAAGTTGATTTTTCGTTTTGCATTACCTACCAACCCATTTTTTTTCAAATTTTTAAATTTTTTTTTTTTTAAGCCCCAATTGTGCCAACTATTCTATTTTTGCTATTTAAATTTTTTCAAAAATTAATTCGGTATTACCAGATAATGACTTATTTCCTGAAAGTATTTGATAGAACTAATAGAAAAAAAATTTGACTGCCAACCCAATTTTCTGATTTCATGTTATAAAAAGCAAAAAAATAATCTTTTACGATCTTAGATGTAAACATAAGCTAATTAATTCACTGTAGATTAAAAAAAAAATCTAACAGACTAACCAGGAATTTTGAAATCCATGTAATGCAAAATGAAAAATTAACTTTGTGTGGCCTAACTATCGAAGCACTAATGCTTTACGAGAATAAAGACCTTTGTAAAAATAACTATTTTAATAATATTTCTGATTGTATTTTAAAAAAACAAGTGATTATATAGTACCTATGAAATAAATATTAATAAATCAAAAACATACAAAAAAAAGTTTATTTATTATCGTTAATTATTATCTCTATTATAAAGAGTATATCTAGTTATATTAAGAATCATTTCATGTAATAGAGCAGCAGTATGTCTGGAATTTGAAGTAACTTGTATGCCAAATAGATATACTAAACACAAATTCTCTGAAGTATAAAAAAATACAGAACCACCTATATCTTCTATAGTTGTTTGTATATCTGTAATCTACAAATATTTAGATTGTCTTTTATTTTTATCTAAATAAAATCCATTAGGAGCTTTTATATTTTTACAAGTAATATGCATACTAAACTCTGAATGGTATATATGATCTTCAGGAATAGCTTCATTTTCTTTTCTAGTACTACTCATAATAAGCTCTTTATAAATTTGATCATCTGTATTTCTTATAGCTGGTAATTTAGTAAATGATTTAGTTGTCCACCTAATTATACCAAAATTGTATGGTATCGTAAAATTTGAAGTATATATAATATCCAAACTTTTCAATTCTCTTCTGCTAGAAGGAATTTCTGTATTCCATGGCTGTGAAAAAAAGTTATTTGTTGAGGCAGCTTTATCTGGTTTATAGCAATAATTTCTTATAGTTATCATGTAATAAAGGTAGGCAGACAAATCTTTTCTTCTGTTAGAATTTCTAGAATAAGCAAAAAATTCAAATGAATATGTTTATCTTTGCCCCTATTTTTGAGATAAACATTAGCAATATTATCACTAGCTAAGATTAGTTTCTTTATTTCTGGATTATTTTGTAGATTATTTTGTCATTTTTGTAGTTTCTCACTTGGACCTAGATGTTTGGCATTTGAATCATCAATTGTTTTGTTAAGTAAATCCAGAAAGACTTCATTATTTCTTATATCAATATAAACATAATGGTCTCCTGACAAAAATAGTTTTGTAGCATTAACCAAATTATTAAATTCAGCTTTCAATTCATTTAGAGATTTATTTACCATATAAAATATTAGAAACTTTTTATATGGATTAAGTGCAGGTAAGTTTTCTATAGTAGAATCTTTAATATAGATATGTAACTTATTCTTTTTAACATTTACATAAATTCTACCAAATGATTATTGATTTATTAGTGGTTTTATAATTTTTCTACTCTGATTAAATTTTTTTCTATATGTAAGTACTGAAATATTTGAGCATCTTGTATATCCTACAATTTTGCCAATAGATGACTCTGAGCATAAACTGCAAAAGAAATTTGTAATTAAAAATAAATAATATTGACAAATAAATTTCTTTTATTTTTATATGATAATAAAATCTTATTAATAAGTTAAAAGTGTGGAAATCTATTTAGTTAAATAGTTGACGTATTTTATCTGAAATAATCTGTTTATAAATTATTTTATCTCAAACAAGCTCCAAAGGACTTATTATATATAAGTGCCATCAAGGGAAAGTTTACAATCTGGCTTTCAAATATATTTTGTATACATTTGGCCATTTATAATAAATCTATTATCAGACATTTAATAATATTTTATGGTGGACATAATATGTCTAGCATAATGGTATGCAGATAAACAACTGACACATATATTTGAAAGCCTGGTTGTAGGTTTTCATTTGACGGCACTCATATGGTTTCAATTATTTTTCTAAGATTAATTTCGAATAATTCCAAATTTATTTTTTTATTTTTTGAATTATGATCCCAAATTTTTTTTTTTTATTTTTTGAATTATAATAATCCCAAATTTATTTTTTTTAATTTTTGAATAGAAATCCTAATAAGTTCTTGTGAGTTAATAAAGTTTCTCTTGCATTTGTCTGTTATAATGTGAGTACTGCCTAATTGGAAGCAAATATGTACCACCAAGTGAAAACTAGAAAGTTTAAAAATAACTTTCTTTAGACAATAGACTATGGACTTTAAATGATACTAATATGTGATCAAAAAACAGTATAATTTATTATTCTAATCAGATCAGTTAAAAGCCTATATTCCATGTCTAAAGAATGCACTTTTTAGGCTTCCTGGTTTTCAATTGGCAGCATCCATATATACTTGACTACAATAAATAATAATGAAACTTATTTTGTCATCACTCATATTAATCGAACTTGAACTAATATTACTTTTAAAAAAAGAAACATATTTATATATAATTATCATACTTAATTTATAGCGTAACTACTACAATCATCAATAAAACGTAAATTAAAACTAGCTCATTATAATTATTAGTTAAATCAAAA